AAATGCTGGCAAATGGGACTAGATCAGTTTAGAATATCTGGTTGGCATGGAGGAGTTGGACCTAAGGTTCTGTTTTGTTGTATAACTCTAGGACTCTGCTGGGTCTATCCTGCAGGTGGGACAGGACTAACCCAAGGATGGTGATGGTACTGTCTAGTATAACTGTGAGGTATCATTCCATCTGCTACATCAGATTCAAGCCTGGATCCCAGACACTACCTGGGTCTCTGGCTTTCTAACCCAGTGACAATATCACTTGGCCATTGCCTCATCCTAATTTAAATTCCACAAGTTGCTCTGGTGGGATGTTCGACAGTATTAGTCCTGACCTCTGGATTACTGATCTAGTGTCATTGTTACTTAGACACAGTCTCTTTCTGTCTGGTTTCATCCATTTTGTTGAGTTTTTTTTAGTGGTCACATACAACTGAATGGAGTGCGAGGCCATGCCCCACCTAGTCATAGCCCCACAAATGAACTAAAAAAACTTTAGAGTGCAATTAAGAATCAACCATATTGTAGTGGGTCTGGAGTCACATGTAGGCCAGATCAGATAAAGACAGGTTTCATTGGATGACATGTATGAACAAAATGAGTTTTCACAACAAGAGTCAATGATTTCAGCATCATTATTAGACTTTTAATTCCAGATCTTTTAAAATTCAAATTTCACCATCTTCCATGGTGGATTCAAACGTAGATCCCCAAAGCATTACCTGGTTCTCTAGATTATTAATCCAGCAACAATACTACTTTGTCATCACCTCACCCTTCAATTAGCCTTTTCCTTTTAAGGTTATGGCTTGGAGAAATGACCAAAAGTGGTAAATTTTAAGCTTAAATAGCAGCTAATTACAATTGAAAGTTTTAGATTGCTGATTGTTTGGCTTATTGCTTTTAGAGAAGACTAGGTTATCTCAAGGTCAGAAAAGAAAAGATGTACAAAATGACTACCTTTCTTTTTCATATTTTTTAAAAAAAAATGTTTACCAGGGCCTTGTCAACGTTTCATACAATGTCTAGAGAGCTCTGTCTGAAGTGCACCAGGAATACTAAATTCAACAAATCAAAGTATGTACAGTTGGATGTCCCATGGCACTTCTTGTTCTAAGTCAGATGATAATATCTGTAAAGACAGCAGGAATAAACCATATAAAGCAGGATGGTTATTGTCCTGGACTTGTTTAGAGGAGGTTAAGATGAATCAGTGTTACTTTTAAGGCCAGAATGTCTAATAGTGAAGTAAACATGGGGTGGGCAATACAGGTATCAAATTTGAGGCTGTGGGCATTTGGACTTTTGTCATTTGTATTTGTATATGGATAGTTCCTGTGTTTTGAAACATGACATAAATATTTAAGTGGTGCACCAGAATTGTGATCAGTGTCCCATTTTTATATTACATACACATTTCATAATTTGAAAGAGAAATCAGCGGATCTATTTCTCTTGGCGCTGCCTATTTTCTGCCTTGAATGCACAGCAGCTGAAGCTGACAGCACGGGCAGATGGCATGATCCCAGTCCTGTGCCAATGTGACTCTGCACCAGTCACAAGAATGACAGCCTTTGAATCTGGAATTGCTCATCTGATATCCCCTACCCTCAACCCCCAACCCCCAACATGAAGCTCAACCCACCACCTCCCTTGTGGGAAGCAAATTCCCATGATGAAGACTGACAGCTCACTAAGTCAAATCCTGGGGTGCCTATGCCATGGTTGATGAGATCTGTAAAGCAGCCGCAGAGAACACAAAGCATCTCAGGCATCCTTGAACAATGAAAGGGTTTGAAAACCAGTTGATGAAATAGGTGGACAAAATAACAGTACACAAACTTTTTCAAAGATAGTAGGAACTGCAGATGCTGGAGAATCTGAGAT